TCCCAAGGACGAGGCCCGCGCCAAACTTGCGAAGCTAAGGGCTCCCAGCTACACCCTTGAGAACGGGAGGCTCTACAAAAGATCTTACAATGGCACCCTCCTTCGGTGCCTTCATCAAGATGAGGCCGAAGTCGCCATGGAGGAAGTGCACAGTGGCACTTGCTCAGCTCATCAGGGACCCTTCTCCATGTCCCGAAGGCTTATTGTTCAGGGCCACTTCTGGCCCACCGTGGCCCGTGATTGCGCAAATCTTGCCCGAAGGTGTACTGCTTGCCAACACTTCCAGAAGGCCCCCGGCAGGCCAGCGGTCAACTATGCCCCCATCAGCACTACTATACCCTTCTCCAGATGGGGCATTGATCTAGTAGGCCCTCTACCGAGGGGTACCTCCAACAACAGCTACATAATTGTGGCCATCGACTACTTCACCAAGTGGGTGGAGGCCGAGCCCCTCGCCAGCATCACTGAGGCCCGATGCCGCCACTTTGTCCTCAAAAACATCCTCACAAGGTTTGGCGTCCCCCAGCAAATCATCTCCGACAATGGCACTCAATTTGAGGCAGCCCCTTTCTGTGCCCTCCTCGAGGCATGGGACATCAAACACACCTTCTCATCCATTGCCTACCCTCAAGGCAACGGACAGGTGGAGAACGCCAACCAAACTTTGCTGGAGGGTCTGAAAAAGAAACTTGAAGCTGAAGGGGGAGGCTGGGTAGAAGAACTCCACAACATCCTATGGGCCTACCGCACTACCCCTCGGCGTGCAACAGGCAAAACACCCTTCTCGCTATGCTATGGCTTCGAGGCTAAGGCTCCAACGGAGGTAACTTTTCCCACCCGAAGAGTAGAACAATATGAACCAGAGGTCAATGACGCCAACATGGGCCTCGATCTCCACCTCATCTCAGAGCGCCGGGAATAAGCCTTCCTCCAGGCTGAAAACTATAGGCGCCAAGTCAAGGGTTACATCGACGCCAGAGTTCGTTCCCGAGAAATCCAAGTGGGGGACTACGTCCTCCGACGAAGGGAGGCTAGCCTACCCACCGAAAGCGGCAAGATGGCACCTAAATTTGAAGGCCCCTACATCGTCTCAGCCATCATCAAACTGGGAACATACAAGCTAAAAGGCCCTAATGGGACAGAGGTCCCTAGACACTGGAATGTACACCACCTTGTCAAATTCTATCAATGAACATGAGCGGCCAAGCCCTCATCCTCCACAAACGTACATGATTAGCGGCCCAAGGCCCCGTTTCATTTTGAGAAAATGGTTAAAAGGCCAAGCCTTCATCACCTATATGTTTCATAAGTGGCCCAAGGCCCCCTCCTCTCCAAAAAAGAGTGGCCAAGCCCTCATCTCCTCACCGAAATAGGCCCAAGGCCCCTTCCTTTCATGAGGATGAACTCAATACGACATCACCAATCAAGGTACCAAGTACCAAGTGTGCGGGTTACCCCCCCTCCCCACTCTTTAAAAACACCAAGTGTTTTTACTAAGTCGAACCCCACGAGGACGCCCTCATGCATACATTATGCATATTTACACATACTCTCCAAAAAAACGGGGGGTACAATACCCCTCGGCTCCGGCTGGCACCAAGTGCCCCCGGCTATTTGTGTTCCACACACAAATAAAACCCTTCCCAGAAACGCTTTCCGCGCCATCCCCCAAGGGGAGGCAGGCAACGGACCATGTCCCGGTCCCAGGATTCGACTTTCACAAACGAAACGCTCCCCGCGCTATCCCCCAAGGGGAAGCAGGCAACAAACCATGTCTCGGGCTGAGGAGACGACTTTCAAAACCGAGGCGCTTTCTGTGCTATCTCCCAAGGGGAAGCAGGCAACAGACGATGTCTCGGGCCAAGGAAACAACCCTTAAACCCTTCGGGATATCAGAAGGTCAATCCCGAGGGGGGAGCCAACGGTTTGTTCTGTTGCCTCCCACATAGGCCAAGCCTTTCCTTGAAACCAAGTTTGTTGATGCCCCTCCTACAACATTTTAAAAAAAAATGCGTAGGGGGGGAAGTAACTCCTCAGATACTATTCTCCCCGGAGGCTCAACAACAATTCGGAGACATATTCCCGAAGGCTCTTTCAAAGATGCAAACAAATCTCTCAACACAAAGTTATTCGGCTACATGTCCGAAGGCTCCATTACATGAAGGTTCCACTACAAGGAAGAAGGCTCACCGGCAAAAACTTTACCAAAATTTGGCTAAATCCAAAATTTGGTTGGGTCAAGACAACAAACAATGGGCCGAGGGATTCCCTCACTCTCAAGCTCATTACACCCGAAGGCTAGCCCTATGGTCCATGGGACAACTTCATGAATTTCCTAAGTCTACAACAGGGAGTTCACTATAGCAAGGAGCTCAGTTAACTCTTATGACCGAGGGCCTACCATAACATCTGTTGAAACTTGGTGGAAATTTGGAACCCTTCGGTGGGCAGCCATTATGATGGTCCCAGATAGAGGTAAAAGTCTAGAGGGGGGGGGGGGTGAATAGACTTTTAAAGCTTTTTGACTTTTAAAGAATTTCCCTCATAGATATGTTGATCAGAAATCTTTTGGGAGATTTAAGGATCGCAGCGGAAGTAATAGCCTCTTATTGGACTGTGAATGGCAACTTTCTTTTGAGATGATAAGGAAGAAGTATTGGGATTTTTGGACAACTTATCATGGGTGATAGAAGCTCTGTTTTGAAGATCTTCAGATGAACGCTTATGGTATGGTATTCTGTTGACCTTCTTCAGAGACCCTTCAGTGAGATCCTCTGATGACCTTGAGTCAGAGACCCTTTAGTGAGGTCCTCTAATGACCTTGGATCAGAGACCCTTCAGTGAGGTCCTCTGATGACCTTGAGTCAGAGATTTTTCAGTGAGGTCCTCTTGAGTCAGAGACCCTTTAGTGAGGTCCTCTGATGACCTTGGATCAGAGACCCTTCAGTGAGGTATTCTGATGACCTAGAGTCAAAGACCCTTTAGTGAGGTCCTCTGATGACCTAGAGTCAAAGACCCTTTAATGAAGTCTTGCAACAGAAAATAGATCGACACAAGATGTATCCTGGTTCAGAGGTGGTGTAATCCTCCTACATCCAGTCCCACCCTCTTTCAGATGGATTTCCACTAAAGTATTCAGCCCAATACAATTAGTGATCGTCCGGCTGTTATCTCCAACTTGCTAAGACTTCAAGGTGTTTCAGTAGGAGTACACACCACTCCAAGCTACTCAATCCTTTAGGTTTTTCTCAATTGATCCAGTGGGGATCAAAAGGTACTCTATCCTATTCTACCACACTTAAGGACTTAGCTGACGCTATCCTTATAAGTGTTTACATCAGTTTCAATATGAAATGAATTTCTAACCTCCAACTAAAAACTAAACTTTCTGAGTGTATTAATGAGGGTTACTGTCTAGAGAGTTTAGTGAAGCATGAGTCTAAGCAGAGAGCAAAGTTTAATGAACACTTTCTTTTGCTAGATATCTTCTATGAATGCGTAGTATGATTTCACCTTTGAATTCTTCCTCTTTCGTATCTAATTTTGGACCATACTTCAGTTCACACAATGATCATGCAATATTGAATAGAAAATCTAAACACCAAGGGAGGATGGCATCATCAAAACTATATTTCATCAAAGTCTGAGGGGCCTAACACATTAACTTCACCACTACCAACAGGCTTATGGCCGAAGGCAGCCTCAGACTACTCGACTAGGGCCTAAAGCTACACTACAAGTCGAAGGCTCTACACCGCCGATGGCCTAGGGTGAAATTAGCTTGGAAAATTTCCTAAGTTTAATTCATCCTAGCCCTCGGTCCTACTACTACAACCCGGAGGCAATTCCAATGGTTCAATGCCGGAGGCATACATTGGAATCTTACTTGAAAAATTTTCTAAGTCCACAACTACAAGCCCCCGGGGAGCCTATACTGCAACCGAAGGCTCGTTGCAAATTTCCTTACTTAGAAAATTTTCTAAGTCAACAACTATAAGCCCCCGGTGAGCCAAAACTGCAACCAAAGGCTCGTTGCAAATTTTCTTGCTTAGAAAATTTTCTAAGTCCACAACCACAAGCCCCCGACGATTTTACACTACACTCGAAGGGTTGTTGCTGAGTTTTCACTTAGCAAATTTTCTAAGTCCACAAGCATATATTCATTCAAACAAAGAAGACAAACAAGAAGATTGAAAACAAAGACCGAAGACATCAATAACCAAAAAGCGCGGAGGCACAACATTCATTCAAAAGAGATGTTCAAGTACAAAGATGTTTGTTTGTTTACATGGCCGAGGCCGAAAGCTACGGACTATTGCAAAGTTACACTTAGAAGAATTTCTATTTTTGGGCTTCTTCAGCTACATCTTCCTTCGGCCTTGAAGCGGCATCATCCTCGGCTTCTTCATCACTGCCTTCACCCATCAGCTCAGAATCTTCTAGATCCGGCCTCTCTTCGCCCTCGGGGAGGGGGACTCTCACATCTGGCTGCAAAGGGGGAAAGCCATAAGCCGCCGGATCAAACTCCTTCGGCTCAATCTTCAGATGCCTGGCCAGCCGTCAGTAGATCATCTTCTGGGTGAAGAACTCACCGTCGTCATAATAATCCTTACCCCTCCGGGCAAGCCATTCAGCACCGGGGCCTCCAACCCAATCATCGATAGGCCTGGGACCGGTTCGGTTCCTAGGCAAAATATGTGGAACCGTTAGAAAATATGAAATTTTACTAACGGTTCGGTTCTTATAAATTATTTTATAGAACCGATACGGAACCGAACCATTCTTAACGGTTCGGTTCTTGTAATTTAACGGTTCCCAGTCTTTAAAAAATTCCTTACAAATCACGGTTAAATTTGTGCCAAAATGACATTCAACGTGTGCAGTTACAATAAAAATATGTTGAACATCATTTCAAACATTTAAAGTTGAGATTAAAACATAAATACATAACAAACCGCAAATTTTAGTAAATAAAACAAAACAAAATATTCGTTACAGAAGCCCAAGAGAACCGGTTAAAATAAAAAATAGTTTTAAACAGTTAAATAACTAAACTAAAACAGTGAATGTAATGTAAAAATAGATAAATAAATATACATTAATATATATATACTAATAAGAAATATATATAATTTTAATTATTATATATAACGCTTCCTTAACGGTTCCATGTACATATTTTTTCCAGGAACCGAGAACCGAACCGTTAATAAAAATAGGAACCGAACCATTAACAAATAACTAATAAAATTTGGAACCGAACCGAACCGGGTAATAATGGGTCGGTCCGGTTCGGTTCACCGGTTCTTGGTTCCAAAGTCCCAGCCCTAATCATCGACGATAGCCTCCACCACCGAGGACAACCATTGCTTATGGTCCCCGGCTTTCCACCCCCCGACAAGGAAGGCGGCCACGCCATCCTTCCCGGCTTGGGATACCGCCTCCTTCTTGGCCTTCTCAGCTTCCTCGACAGCAGCGGCGACGATCTTTTCAGCCTCGGCCTTGGCCTCAGCCTTCCCTTCGGCCTTGGCCACCGTCTTCGAATCCTGAAGGATCTTGTTGAAACCCTCCTGCTCCAGCCGGAGGGACTTCTCTGCTACCTCAAGCTTTTTCCGAAGGGAGGCCTTTTCATCCTCAGACTTCTTGAGGGCCTCATCCGCCTGAGCCTTTGCTATTCTCAGCTGCTCCGCCCTTCGGGCTTGCTCAGAGGCAGCCAGTGCAGCCTGCAAACAAACAAAGATCAGAGGCATCTTAGCATCTCCTCATACTACCTAAGGCATCCTTAAGACCGGAGGCTATATCATTGCACTTGTGGACTTAAAGGAAAAGAAGTACAAGAAAGACTTACCATGGTGCTATAGCTGGCGACCTCATAGTCGAGGATCACATCCTCCATCTGGGCCAGCACGGCCTTGTCATCCGAAGACATCACGCCCCTCATAAAGCCGACGGGGTGCAATGTCGCACGCAGAATGCCAGTCCCCGCCTTGATGGGGAACTGGATAATCTCGGCAATACTGAACTCCTCGCCAGCTTGAAGCTGGGAAGAAGGGGGTGGATCTGCAGCTGGAGACCTTGAAGTAGAGTGTTCCTCAATGATTATGACGGAGGCATCCTTCTTCTCGAGGGCCTCCTCCTCCCCCTTCTTTTCCGGAGGCATGACACCCTTCCCGGCATTCTTCCTTTTGAGCTCCTCCACCTTGGAGCCCCCGACATCGGTACCGGCATCAGCAATCTTGGAGGGTCCCTCACCCTCCGGAATCTGGGCAGCCCTGTCTTTCTTAAAGAACTCGCCGACGGGTTTTTGGGTACCCGTCTCCTTCTTCTTATTTGGCTCTCTAGTCAGCTTCTTCTTCAAGGCAGCATAGGAGCTCACGTCCATAACTTGACCTGAAGAGCAAAAGAAATACAAATGTCAGACAAGGGTGATAAAGTAAAGAAAAAACTCCTAAGTACAAAAATAAGGGGCCTTCGGCAACAACCTCCGGCGTTCTGGTAGCCCCGGTCAATCAAGGGGTATTTCTCAGCATCCTCCCCGGCAAGGCGAAATCGCCGAAAGCCTAACATATATAATTCCTTCGGCAAGGTGGCCTCCTTGATAGTGATCACCTTATCAGAGCCCTCGGGCTTCTCAATAAGCTTCTTGCCAGTCTTCTACAGGGCCGCGCTGCCCACCTTCGGGTGCCTCCGGAAATGATTGCGCAAAGCCCCTGGGAATGGATTATCGACCATCCGGATATAGCAGAACTTCTCCTTCCATTCCTTGTGCGATGAGGGGGTCTCGGAGAATAGCTTCCAGGCCGGCACCTGCTGCAAATTGGCATACCCCCCAACATGGGAATGTCCCCCGTCACAAATTGAAGGAGAGGAAAAACTGATCTAACATAGCCTCCACCTTCCGACTTCGGCAAAGAGATAGGAACCCTGCCAGGTAGTAATGACTGTTTGGGGTGAGCTGGCAGGGAGCTAACTTCACGTACCTTAAGTACTTCAGGATGAAGGGATGAAGTGGGAACCTAAGGCCCAACTCCACCGAGAGCATGTGTACTGAGAAACATCCCTCCGGGGGATGGGATAGCAGATCTTCGGGGCCCGGTTCCACGACCTGTGCCGAAGGCCCCACAAGGACCTGGAGAGCATGATACTCGGCACCCGAGGCCGTAGTCTTCACCTCAAGGGCGGTGGTGTCCAAATACGAGTGCCCCTCGGGGATCCCAACCGGCTGCCCGGCGTCGACAGCTGCCTTTTTCTTCTTTGGGATAGCTCTCAGCTTCTTCCTCCTTTTCCCTGGGGCCACACTCAACGGATCAGGGTTCAGCGGACGGGAGGTGCTCGCTTCGCCGGCACCACGAGGGGGGAGTACAACAACTGTAACTTCTTGCCTCTCCTTCTCTTCCTCTTCCTCAGCGACCTAGAGAGCGAGGGCCATTTTCTCGTCCTCGACCACCTGCTCGAACTCCTCCGCCTCCAGCTCAGTGTGAAGGTTATTTTGAACCTCTTCGGCAACAGCTGAATCATTGTTCGCCGAGGACTGCTCACTCGACGACTCCACGTCCGAGTAGCTCTCTTGCTGCACCGGCGGCTCCCCCGAGATGTCTTGGGAGTCACTTTGCGAGGTCATTTTTTCTGAGAGTGAAGTGTTTTAAGGAAGAAGGCAACCTAAGTATATTAGCCGAAGGCCCCTAAGATCGCTAACACTAGATCGAAGGGAAAGGATATCAAAGTATGCTAAGTGTACGAAGAACAGGTGAAGAACTGACCTTGGAGATTGGGGTTTGATCGAAGAAAAGGCTTTCTCTCTCTAGAAATTTTGGCAGAGCTTCGCTTCAATTCTAAACGCACAAAGGAAGTCAATTCGAACTGGGGGTATTTATAGGCTCCCAGCCTCAAAATATGGGCCTCGATTTGAAAAACCCATCATTACGGGCCGCCGCCTCACCCAATGGACGGCACCCGCCCCCCTTCAGCCAACAAGAACATGCCACGTGGACCCCCCTCCAACGACTCTTTTCCAACGGCTCTATTTTGGAAACCATTGAGGCAACCTCAGATGATAGCCTCCAGCCATCACTTACTAGAGCCTTCAGTGAGCAACTTTTACCAAGTGCTCTCGAGCAAGCAGCAGTATAAGCCTTCGGCTTATCAATGTTGCCACTCCTCAGTCAATGACACCCCCCGGGGTCGCATGCAAACATCATAACTTCTTCAGCCCGAACTTTCCTTCGGCCTAAATGAGTGGGGGACTGGGATACACCCCTCGGGAATCACACAGAACTAAAAATTCCCAAATGCAGAAATCTACAAAGGACACATGCAGCCTTCGAGCAAACACCAAAGGAGAACTCCTCGGGTACATGCTTCACTATACCCCTCGGCAGAAGCAAAACATCAGAAATTTCCCACAAGTCACTGACAATGATGGAGCAGCCTTCATCACAACACATACAGACAACTCATCAACGCTTCCCTCAGAAAACCCCCGACATGTGGGGGACTGAGGGAAAGCCCCCGACAAATACCAGTAAAGCTCTCCGGTAAAGCGCAAGCCTTCGGCAGGGCCAACGCATCAACACAATTACTCCTTTTCCCTCAAGTACCTTTCGGCCAAAGGAGTGGGGGACTCCTGATGGAGTATATGGCCCAGGGACCCCCGACCCATAGACTCCTACTTCTCCTACACAGGCCCATTAAGCCCAAGGAGCATTCGAGGCCCAAATACAGCGGCCCAAGTCTCAAAGAAGCCCAAAATACACACTGGGGTGCCTTCGGCCTCCTTGGCCGAGGGCTCCGAATTACTCAGGGCAACCAGATTCGAGCGTGCAAAGCTACTGGGAGAAAATGGCAGAAAACAGGAGCCTTCGGCACTTTGATGCCTTCGGCATCAGGGAAGCCTTCGACTGTACGACGCCTTCGGCTGCACAGGCCCTCGGCCGCAGGGAGGAGCCCTCGGCCGCAGGGAGGAGCCCTCGGCCATCGACTCAATCATCGAAGATTCCCTTTGGAGACAAGCAACCACCGCATTTAATGCAGCGTCACATCCACTCACCGCATCCAATGCGGTGCACATGCGAGTGCTAGTGCCACCCCATTGATGTGACCCCTCGGCCGTTAGATTATCGCCACGTGTACTCTCATTGCATTTATTGCTGCTATAAATAGCACCTCCTTTTCTCATTGTAAAGGACCAGAACATCTCGAGTTCATTAATTAATACAATCGCCTCTTTCTCCTACTTGTTTGCTCTGACTTCTCTCTAGGTTATTCTCATAATAACCCCTGGGATAAGCTACCCCCGGGTACACTATCCATCAGTATAAATTAAAACTTCTAACATCTTTTCAATCACTAGAAAAAGATTGACTTCTCATAAACATAAATGTATAGTTGATCAGTATTTATTATATGAAATTTGTAAAAGTTAAGACGATATATATGGTAAAGATGAAAAGTCAAGAAAAATACAAAGTATATATATTGAGTATTGATTGTATATATAACTTGTTTGAGTTATAACTATAACAGAAATCTTATTTTTATTGACTCTTTATGTTCGTTAGGTCAATATAATAAATCCCCCACTCGTTCATATATATATCTACCCAGCAAAGGTTTTTTCATACAATTCGGCACCATATATATCTACCCAGCATTTTTTTTTTAAATTAAAGCTTTACTTAGATTATGAAAAATTATTTTGTTGTCAATTTTTTGTGAATAATTATGATTTAAAAGTCAAACATTTTAATTTAAAAATAAAATAAATTTGGAGTTTTTTTTTTGTTATTTCGGACCTACTTAAAAAATAATTGAAAGATTTAAATAAAATGTTTTAATTATGAGATCTTAATTTTAGCACTTAGACATATTTAAGAAAAACTTTGTGTCTAAAAATCTCTATCAGTGGCAATTCCACAAATTTTTAACTTTTTATATGCAATATTGATGTCAAATGAAAGATCATAAAAATTATGAAATTTGATACTTCATATATTTTTTCCTTATAAAAAAGTTTTATTATTCTTTACAGAAAATTGATATTTTAATTTTGACTGGACCCCGTTCTTTAAAAAAAATTGTCTGGACCCCGCGGTACTATTTCTCCTCTGCAAAAAAGGGTTTAATGCACCAAACCCCCCTATGATATGAAAATTCGCCACATTAACCCCCGTGATTTAAAAATGCGTCAAACCCCCTTATGTTTTAATTAATTATGCGGAAATTCCTTTTATGAACAAATTTAATTGTCAAATAAAAGAAAAATGATCAACGTTTTGTATGATTTAGAAATTTTGACATATTTACTGGCATATTCAATTAAAATATTAGAAAAAATGATTTTCAAATCGTTAAATTTATTCATAAAAAAAGATTCTGTGCATGATTAATTAAAACATATGGGCGTTTGATGCATTTTTCAAATCAAATAGATTAATGCACTATTAAACAGTACACATCATTAATGCAATGAATTTCTATATCGGGTTTGGTGCCCTGCAAAAAGCAAAAAAACACGTTTGAAGTACTTTGAACAAAATAGAACCCCTTTGAACACTTCACTTTAAACACATAAGTCAATCTCCGATGGAGTACTCGTATTTTTTTGCTTTCGTCGATATTTGCGCTAGTTAAAGTTGTCAGAGGGGCGTCAGAAAATTGGATAGAGACATAGAGTGACCGCAAATAGTCAAAAAACTGTTTTGAAGAATTAAGAGTATGTAGGATTAATATAAAATCTCTAGCACTAAAATGAAATTAATTCAAAAAACCTTTGAATCTCCTCCAATGTTCGATTTATTTGAGTCCGTATTTTTAGTTGAAAAAAACTAGTTGTACACATGTTTTTGTTTGTGAAGTGTTAACGGGCTATTCATGAACGAAAAAAAAGCTCTTCACCTGCGTGTGTAAGATGATGTGTACAAAACAAATTCGGCAAAATTGATAAGAATAAATCATACTATCAAGTACTCCTTATTTTACAATTATAATCTTTATTATTGAGAGTATTCATAAAAAATAGTCCGAACTACCAAATATGACAACAAGAATAAATTCAAGTGAATTCAAACGAATGTCATTTAATACTTCCAATCCCTACTCCCACATTTTCCTTCATCACTCTTCTTCGCAGGATAAGTTCAAACTAAAACTCGTTTACAATTGATTTACGTATTAAATGAGTATTAGTTTTAAACTTACTCCAATTCAATCTTGTGAACATAATTGGTATTTCAATTTTTTTACTGTACTTTCTCTTTTTCTCGTTTAAATGAGTATCTTTTTTGTTAAATGTCAACGCTTTTGACTGGGATGAGTTTCACACTTGTGATCTTCTTCCTGTGAGTGTCACAGTGCCATCTAACCACAAGTCTATTACTCCGTATGATAGAGCTTTTTTCGAATATTTGATGTTAATGTCTATAGAAGGAATAATGTCATTGGACATACTCGGCTCAAACACGTGAGTTGCGACTTCCACCTTTGAGATATGAGGAGTAAGGTACTTAAAAGTAATCGCACTTTTAAAAGTAAAGGTTATAAAATTTCCCCAACCTATCAGTCAGTCTACAAAGGAGTTGTACCGCACAGTAATTGCAAGAAACCAGAATGGAGGAGGGGTTGCCGTTGTTGAAGGTGGGAGAAGAGGGTGGTCGGACAGGGTTGGGGTCTGTTTGGGCAGAGGTGAAGAGGCTAGGGTACTTGGCAGGTCCAATGGCGGCTGTGACTTTTTCTCAGTATCTATTCACCATCATACCTGTTATGATCGTTGGGCATTTGGGTGAGCTTTTTCTCTCCAGCACCTCCATAGCTATATCTAT